CTCCTCCTCCTCCTCCTCCTCCTCCTCCTCCTCCTCCTTATCGTCGTCATCGTTATCCTCCTCATTCTCCTCGTCTTCCTTCCCATCCACCTTCTCCGCGTCCTCCTCCCCTCCTCCTGCTTTGCCACCTCCTCCTGCTCCTCCTCCGAGCGCACTCCCATGAGAAGACCGAGTCCCGCCGCGTGCGGGCGCCCTTGTACTACAACTAGTGCAGCACCTCGAGCTGGGGCCAAGCCTGAAGGCCTGGGGGTAGACGACCTTGCGCCAACCTCTGGATGGCCCTCATCCCTGCTTCAGCGGGGGAGGGCTCACATATGGCTTGCCATATGCTACGGGCCCGAGCCGACCAACCCCCACAACGACTGCACCAACAGATCCCGTTGATTGACTGTAAAAGAGGGGTGGTGGGTCGGGTGAACTGCGAAAATAGTGGGCGTACAGGGTTGGTTCAACCATGTGAGCATGCGAATGTTAACGCTGCCTTGCTTCTTGCACCTGAGGCATGCGAGATTGAAGTCGGGACCAACAGGGGCAGAGAGGAGGCAGTAGGAGGTGGTGGCGAGAGCCTGCTGGCGGGCCTGTAAATTCCTTGTGGCCCTGACTCTCCTACGCACATAGTTTGGTGTCCTCGTCCTCGTAGGGGAACTGATCCTTGTGTTCCCAGTAATGGGTCTGGATGGCTACGAGGCGGTCACAGACCGAGGCGGCCCGAATGTCTCCTCCCTGGATCTGGCGCGCAAGCGGGGGAGGGGGGACTTTTTGGCGACAGGCAGCACAGCTGGCGATCTCATTGACCTGCTCACAACGAGCGCCCAGGCCGCCTCTCCTCCTCCTCCTCCTCCTCCTCCTCCTCCTCCTCCTCCTCCTCCTCCTCCTCGCCCTCCTCCTCCTCCGCCTCTCCTCCACTTCTCCTCCTCCTCCATCCTCCTCCTCCTCCTCCTCCTCCTCCTCCTCCTCCTCCTCCTCCTCCTCCTCCTCCTCCTCCTCAGCATCATCATCATCATCACCATCATCCCGCCATGCCTCCTCCTTTTCCTGCTACTTATCCTCCTGCTCCGTCCTTCCTTACTTCCTTCCTCTTCTTTCCTTCCTTCCTTCCTTCTCCTCCTCATCACTCATCCTCCTCCTCTTGCTCCTCCTCCTCCTCCGTCCTCCCCCTCCTGCCTGGTTTCGCTCGAGAAATCACGACGTCGCTGCCGTCACAGTCGTGGGCGTGCTTCTTGTCGTCGCCGTCGACGTCGAAATCATTTCTCATCGTCGTGCTCGTCGGCAATGTCGTCCTCACCCTCGCCTTGTCTTGCACTTCCCCAAACCTCCTCCTATACTTCCTGCCCGCCAAGGAGGAGAAGGAAAGAGGGGGGGGGATAATGAGGGAGGGGGGAGGGGGAGAGGGCAGATTAGGGGGAAGGGGGGAGAAGGAATGAAAAGGAGAAGAGGGGGGACGAGGAGACGAATCTGAATCGTCGTGGGCGACGGCGCCAAAAGGGGATCGCTGACAGCGGAAGCACCGCGTCCCGCATCGGAGAGCTTGCGAACACACGACGGCAACGACGATGGCCTCCCGCCACGGCAGCCTCACGAGCCGACGACGACGACCTCGACGAAGACGACGACGAACCGACAGCGACGCCTCGACGAACCGACACCGCCGACGCCGAACTGACAACGATGAAGACGTCGACGACAGAACTGGCATTGTCGACGGCGACGAGAACGACAAGAACGCCGACGACGGCATACACGACTGCGTACAGCGAAGCGGCCGACCGACGACCGAACAAGACGAACACGACGGCGACGAGACCCGACGGCGTCACGAAGGAACGCTTGTAATGGCGGCGGCAGCGGTCAAAGTCCGCTCAAATCTTGTCACAGACCCCTCCTGCAGTCTATCCAAGCCCATCTTCCCCACCGCGTCCAGCCGCTGCGAAGAGGTCCCCCCGAAGGCTCAGAGGAGGGGGGGAAGCAGGAGGGAGGTGGGAGGAGGGGTGCATGAGGTGGAGGGAGCAGGGGGAAGGGGAACTTGGAAGGAAGAGGAAGAGGGAAGAGGGACGAGAGGGAGGAGGTGGAGGAGGGAGGAGGGGCGGAAAAAGGAGGCCTCAACGGCCGCACGAACCGCGGCTCGGTGCCCATCCGGGCCACGATGCCGTCCGAGTCGGTGAGGCACAGCTGCTCGAGGGTCCGGCCGCAGACCCCGAGGGCGGTGCCGGCCTCGGTCGCCGCCGAGAGGGGGGAGGGTCAGGGGGAGGAGCAGGAGGCCTCTCTTCGCCTCCCCTCCTCTCTTCAGTTCTCCCTCGCCTCTCCTTTTCCCCCACCACCCCCCCCCCCCCCCCTGGCCCTCGGCCCTCCCGCCCTTCTGCCTCTCTCCTCCCTCCCGCCTCCTTCCCATCCGCCTCCCTTCCGCACTCCACGGGAGCACGATATGGGTGCTGCTCTGCTCTCTCGCCCGAGTGTGGTCCCCCAAACTGGCCGCCCCCTCCCCGCGCGCTCGCTTTTTACAAACACGTTGTGCGCGCGAGCGAGCTTCTCTTTCGTGTTGTCCGAATTCGAGCCCTCCACGTCATGTTCTCTACGCGCGGGATTTGCGCGAACTGGCTTTTCATATGGTCCTGTATCATCAGGTGCTTTTTTCAAGCCATCTTGTCGCAAATGGTACTCTCGCTGCCGCGTGGGCTTCGTTTTCCGATCGGCGCCGTGCACCCGTGCTTCCGAATGGCGCTCCTGCCCTAGCGTGGGCCATCTTTCCGGATCCCACGGGTCTCGCAGGCACCACGGGTCCCACAGCATCAACAAGTGTCGCAGTTCGCCCCAGAGGCCCCATCGGTCTGACGGGTTCCACAGGGCCCACAAGCCCCACATGTTTCGCAAGTCTCCCATGCCCTGCAAGTCCAGCAGGTCCGACGTCCCGCAGGTCCCAGAGGTGTCGCACTTCTCACGGGTCCCACAGGTGCCACCAGTTCGTCGGGTGCCACAGGCCTCGCAGGTTTCACAGGCCCCACTGGCCAAAGAGGTCCCCAAGTCGCCCAGGTCCAACCAGTTTCCCGCTTGCCGACTGCGCATAACACGATAGGGGTAATGTGTGGATTTCCAGGTCGGCCATGACACGCGTCCGCGGATAGAGAAAAAAGCAGCCCATGGCGCGAGCGCACCTAGCATGTCTCTCCCCTATCTCCCTCCTCCCTCGCTCCTCCTGGGAGGAAGGGACGAGGGGAGGGGGAGGAGGGAGACACGGAGGACGACGAGGCCCTGGGAGAACGACAAGGACGAAGAAGAGGAATGAAAATAAGACGGAGAAGAAAAACAATAAGAAACTCAGCATTACGTGTGGCCTCATCGTCTGACCTGCTGTGAGGAAGATAAAGAGGAGGGGGAGGAGGAAGAGGAAACGGGAGGGGAGGAGGAGGAAGAATAGGAGGAGGAGGAGGAGGAGCAGGAGGAGGAGGAGAAAGAGGGCATTGCCCAGGAGACGAACAGGATGGGGAGGAGGAGGGTGCATCCCTCCTGGAGGGTACCACGGCGACATCGATGGATATCGCAGCGTCGGATGATGAGTTTTCTGTTGGGTGGTTTAGGGGGGAGGGGCCTCCCGCCGACGGCCAACTCAACCGGAGGCGAGCTTCGCTGAAGGATCGCATCTTCAGATGGACGCGTTGCCAAGGGCTCGCTTCGCCCAAGCTCGCTTCTCAGAGGCTCGACTCGCAAGAGCTTCGCCTCGTCATGTTGTATATCATTCCCCTCGCCAACCGATCACGCGTATTGTAATGCTAATATGCCACGGTGAGAAGAATTCTATTGCCATCCCGTCGGCGCCAGGCTGTCGATGACCGCCCACCGCTTTACCATGGCGGCTATTTGACAGTCCGCTGCGTCTACATTATCCAAGATCGCATCGAGAGCAACGTCCCAGTCCCTGTTGTAGCCACGCCTCGCTGGCCCCGTTGCTTGAATACATGCGTCAGCCCATGCTTGTATACAAAGATCCCGCGAGGTGCGTAAAAAGCTCAGATGCGCTCATCAAACAAATTTGACTTGGTCGCTGAGTCTAAACTTCCATGGCTTGTTGAATATCTCATGCTGTAGATGGCTGATTATGCACTCAATCCGAACATCACAGCGAAGCCAAGCATACTCTGCCTGATGGGGGAACCGTCGACGTACGCCATCGAGACATAAACCGACGGTTGCCATACGCCAACAACATGTGGGTTTAGAAAAGCGTGGATACGGCGCACAACTTCTTAAATACGGATCCCTCACATAGAGCCGCTCGGGTCCGCGAAACAACAAAAATCATGCATTACCGATGTTAACCGCGTGTCCGTGAGCAGCACGACCGCCAATCTGGAACAACGATGCAAATCCACATCGAGTGTATACAATATATGACCCTGTGATATTTTCCAATCGCCAACGCGCGATAGACCCTGGAGTTTGATCTGGTGGCCCTGAGATGCCATGCGCTGTCTAGTAGTGGCGACACGGAGCCCCCCACCACGACGGTAAATCCAAATATTGTATGGACTGACGAAGGTCCCAAACAACTCGCCGAAATTGTCTTGATCGCGAACCCGGTCGCATGGAAAGCCTTGCGCAACGGGAGACAAACCCACAGAGTCTTGCGAATGTGTGTACAGGGATGGTAGAGGTGAAAGAAGAAGAGGTTAGCTACTCCTTTTCCAGGGCGCTGCGCGAAGGGCAGCGCGGCATGTGCACCAATACCTGAGCCGATACGTTAGCGGTATGTGAAGATATAGTGATGATATGAGCGGACTTCACACACAGTGAAGGTGTCATCCCAGCATCGTGCCCTACCATTCGATTCGCAAGCCGCCCCGGCGACCATCCTACTCTGATTGGCGGGCGCCCCATGCGG